TGCTGGTTGCCTGGGAGAAGAGACCAACCCCCACCTGGCTACAACCTCCTTTCAGGTAGTTGTAGAGAGTGATGAGGTCTCCCCTGAGCCTCCTCTTCTCCAGGCTAAACAACCCCAGTTCCCTCAGCCTCTCCTCATAGGACTTATACTCGAGTCCCTTCACCAGCCTTGTTGCTCTTCTCTGGACCTGCTCCAGCACCTCAATATCCTTCCTGAACTGAGGGGCCCAGAACTGGACACAGTACTCCAGGTGTGGCCTCAGCAGTGCTGAGTACAGGGGAAGAATCACTTCCCTGGTCCTGGTGATGCAGATAAATGAAAAGATGATCATAATAATTTATCCTTCCAGCCTTAAACTCTTTGGATTTTTCTTCAGGCTAACTGTCTTAATCTGTGTGTATCTTCCTCATTTATTCTGTGCAGCCAACTCAGGCCAGATCACAGTTTCTTCTTGCTTGCTTTTGCATTTTCAAAAGCCCTGGTCACGTTGTAGTCTCCGAGGAGTGAACCAGCAGGCCGGGTAACCTCCCATAGCACTCCTCCAGCAGGCCCCCAGCACGGCCTTAATACCCTCGCCGTGGTAGCCCCTGGGTGCCCATTGGCCAGTTCACCAGTATCCAAGCAAAGTTCGCCTGGTACCAAGATGGGCCCTGAGTGTCCATTGACTGGTTCTCCGGTATCCAAGCAAGATCTGCCTGGCATACCTTCTTTGGGAGAGTAAGTCCTTGCCGTGTTCTTGACTGTAACAACTTATCTTTTTTGCTGGTCCACCTGCCTCCAGCAGCTTGCTTAGGTACCTGCTGGAACTTTTGCAAGCAGTTCAGCTCCTGCAGCAGCCTAGCTGCGTCATCAAGGCTTTTTAGCTCCATGCTCAAGGCAATGGTGAAGGAGACTCCATCTTTTAATCAGTCATTACACGAGCATACCTTTCCAATAAAGTTTTAGACTTCAAGAAGATCATGCAATTCTACTTTTAAGAAAATAATACATGATTTCAGAAAAACTTAAGGCAGCAAGTCTTAAGTCTTAAAGTCAAGACCAATATACGGTCGATATCTCTTGGTGGCTGTCAGATGAAGAGCTATCTTAAGAATGCAGTTAGCAACTGGTGGTTTCAGTCTAAGCCAGGTTCCCAGTATTGTTTGTCCCTGAGATTACTGGCTGGCAACAAGAACATTTGATTAAAGTTCTCTCCCACCACCCCACCCTGAAATAAATTAGTCGATCCTCTTGTAGCCCACTGTTGTTAAGCATGTAGCTTAGATTTAAGTGGTTCAACACAGTGGAAGATATTTCTTAGAGGTCTGCATTTTTGTAGGGCTTTGTTTTGTTTGATGTTTTTTCTGTTGTTCTTCAGATGTTATAGGTTATACATAAAGATTTTTTTTCTTACGTTGTCATTTTCTTGTCAGGAAACATTACAATTATTTCAAGTTGCTGACTTTTTTTAGTAATCTTGTTTGAAGATTGAAATTGTGTCCTGTTAAAGTTGTCAGCAAACCTTGCATAATATGATTGTGAAGCTTGTATAGAGACAATATGGGGAGACAACCTAGGGGCTGTTTGTCTTAGGATCTTAAGAACGTTGACCAAAAAATCCAACCCTTGATTGAGCAGGAGAATCCCAGTGATATGTATAAAAACTTGCAGTGTCTGTGTTTCATCTAAACAGCACCTCTCATTTCTTTTCAGCATAATAAATTGAGAAGTCTAAGTGGAGTTTGTTGTCACATTAGAAGGTTGCTAGGCTGTGCTGTAACTCAATTAAATACTTATTTTCTTGGAGCAGTTTGGGTCTCTTGGTCCTGCAAAGACATGGACTATATGTTTGTGACTTTTGTAGTAGGGTAATAAAAATGCTGGAGCCCCATCTAGTGCATGAACAGTTAACCCTGCTAGAGAAGTTATAAAACATGTCAGAACAGAGAGGATAGAAGGCAATTCCGTTAGTGGGCAAATTTTAGCCTTTTTGTAAAATAACTTGTATTACTACATCAATAATGGATTGGATGAGAAAAATGTAGTAGTGGTCAAACACAGGTCGTTGGGGGAAGGTGATTCCATAAAGGTTAATTTTATTGTGCCTCAAAGGGACCACATATATTAAAAGATTTAACTGTGTTAGACCCCAAATACGAGCAGTCAAATTGAAGGCTAATTACAGTCTGAAAATTCACAGTGAGACCAGGACATGTTTAGCACATTTAGATTAGATAAATCAGATTAAATCCAAACACATTTGACCTTGCTCAGTTGCTTGTTTCCAGGAAAAAGATGCTAGTAAACAGAAAGACTGGGACTTTCAGGTTTGATTATGCAATTTAGGATTGCGAGTAAAATTCTGAGTCCATGGAAAGTCAGCAAGACTGTTTTCATTAATTTCATTTGCATCAGCTTTCACCCTTGGATTTTGAGATTAATTTTCCTAAGAGAGTTAGGATTTGCTGTCTCTGTGAACTTCCCTGCAAATGTCTGGGAGGAAATCATCTTAGAAAACTAGCATTGTAAATATAATGGGCTAGACAGTAGTCTCCCTTCTCCACCAGAGAAGACGGAAGTTGCCTTTGAGATTCTGCCAGAGCCCATTTAAAACAAATGCAGTGCACTTTTTGAAGTTCATGAAAGGGAGGGGAAATACTGGATTTAGTCAATATTCATTTTATAGCATAAATGTGTCTTTAGGAAAAAGAGCATTTTTCTTCTAAACAATTCCTCTTGACTGGTTTCAGTACTTTTCTTTCAATGATTATGTACATACTCAGGAATAATAAGATTTTTTAAAATAAGAAAATCTGAAATATTACTGTTATTTTAGGAAATCTAATGCATCAAAATTTCTAGCAGTATAGAAAGCTACACCTAGATGAAATTCAGGCTTTATAAGTATTTTTTTTATAATTATGCACCTAAATTTGGGTATGAGTATCAAATGGAAACCTTCAGTTTATTAATGAATATGCTATGCATGCATGTGTTAAATGCTTTATTCAATAAAAAGCTAACTAGGGCAAATGACCTATGTTTTTGCTCACAGTTTAAGTCTTACTTTGACCAAACTATGGTAAGAAATGGGCATAACAGTGTGTTTTGTGGACCAAGGATTTCTAGAAAGACTAAGAATATTACTAGCCTGCTGGTTATAATGTTACTGGAAGTTTTTTTTAATGTAATGTGAATTATAAGACATTCTTCCCAGTATTCTGGATTTAGGAGTCATCCTTGTCTCTGTAAAGCTTTAAATAGTATAAGCACAGTTGTACTGTGCCTTCCAAAGATCATCTTTTCAGCTTACACACTGATATGCACTGGTATACAGCTTGTAATGCAATACTTATTGAATCAAAAATACTGTGTCAAGTAGTATTGGCCTTGAGGTCAAAATCAGTGTCATTGATAGTTATGGGAACCACACAGTAGTCCATGGTTCCATATGAAGATCATAGGACCTGGCCAAGCATCACAAGGGCGTGGTTTAGATCCAACCCAAGCCAATGTCTATACCTCACTGAGCTCTAGGAGGCTGCTTCTAAGCTACTGTTTCTTCAGTATTCACCACTTCATTCTCATAACGGATGTTTAGGAGCTTCACACCCAGATTCCATCACTCTCAGCTATTGCTCCCTTCATTCCTTTCATCCTCTTCTCTAACAGAGCTTTCTGAAACCTGTTTCATTGGTCAGGTTTACAGTGGTGTCCCACAAGGACTTTTATTGATGCATATTTGTGAAGTGGGTGAGCACGTTGCAGACGAGAACTTCTTAAGTGAGGTTTGCTGCCAAATCAGGCACTTTGTATAATTACACCTTTGTTAGTTGTGCTGTTGCTAGTTTGAATATCTTGCTAGGTGAGGAGGCTTTCTTATTGCCCTCTTGGAAAATACATAGTTTGTAGACTGTGTAATTCACAGAAACTGTAATTGTGGATGATATTTCTAATGATTTGAGCTCAAATACAGCTCATAGATCTTTTAGTAACAAGCCCCACATGAAAGAGAGTGGGACAACTTAAGACACAGTTGTGCAAGTGACTGTGACTTTGAAATGTATTTTTGTTCATATATTGGGAAGTACTTTATTTTACAGCTGTTCTACCTGTCCAAGAGTAATAATTTAGGGGGTTTTAACTTCTGTAGTTTGATTTGATTGTGATTACACAAGAACAGTTAAACCTAGAAAAAGGTGCCACTTTTAGATGTTCAACTTTGAGTTAAGTTCAGCTTGGGCAAAATTGAATTTCAGTGACTTAGCCTGATCGGTACTTTAGTTGCTGGAAAACTTACTGCTAATGCCCTAAAATAAAACAAAATGAAGTTAAGAAACCAAAGCCAAAATTCCACCACTTGTATCAAATGAGGTAGTTGGAAACTGGTTTTATGCAACAAACAAACTTCCGAGTGTGTACAAGTAACACTGGGAGTTGCATTTTCAAACTTCTAAACAGCAAGAGCTGAAAAATACTATTGTGAATGTGCCCCATTGTATCATAGCATTCAAGGGATCTCAACATATGCTAGGTTCTGATGACAGAGCTGTTGTTGCTTAAGTAAATGTACAAGTTCTACATTTGGTTGTAGAATTTCTGCAGCACTTCTAGAGAGACTTTTTGTTATTACTGGAATTCTAAAAATATTGAGGAAGATCCTAAGGAAAACTTGTCCAAGTTTTACTATCCTACACCAGTATTCATAATTGTCGTTAATGTATTATCTATGAACTATTAGGGGATGAGAGAGTTGTAACAGTTTGGGGATCAAGGTCATTGTCAGCATTTGAGAATTGGGCTTGGATGGTTTCTTTAATTCAAATTGATTGGCTATGTATGCTATTTTTAATGAAATATCTCTTTGCTATGTTATTTTAGGAGAGTTAGGAGGGCAAAAATTTATTTTAAGTGTGTTAATATAAATTTGAGGCTTGCTATAGATTACCATCAAGGACAGTCATACATCAGCATACATCATAGCTTGTGAAAAATTTAATGTGTTGTATTTCCATGTTTAGATATAGCAAATGGCTCCAGTTCAGGAGGATATCGCCCCCCTCCCAGAACAAAAGAAGTGATCATCAATGGACAGACAGTGAAACTAAAATATTGTTTTACTTGCAAGATTTTCCGCCCACCTCGTGCCTCACATTGCAGCCTTTGTGATAACTGCGTAGGTGAGTAAAAAATAAGATATGGCATATGTTCAATTTGGTAGTATTTGGTATTGTTATGAATACTTTACTTAGGAGAGAGAAGAGAATCAGAGTTAGTGACAAGATTACTCATGAGGTGACTTGCTGTGTTCATCCTTCTTTTCTGCAACCTCTGTTAAATATTAAGAATTTTAGTGGAGGCAGGAAAGGAGATTTGGCCTAACAGATGTTGCTAATCTAAGAAAGAAAAATATCTTCTGATGCATACACGTCCTAACCTTCTCTGTAAGGCAGAGAACACACCCAACTCAAATAGGGCTGCATGCAATGTGCAATGACCTTTCCAATGCAGAGAATCAACCTTTATGGAAGTCTCAGAATTGTTTCCTTCAACATATTAAATTGTAGGCAAGGAGCTGCTTCCCTAGTTCATTAGAAACTGATTATAACACATAGTTCAAACTCTTAGGGCTTGGACTGTGACCAAAATACACACTGTAGGTGATTCTCACCTTTGAGCAGTTTTATGATTAGAAATTTTAAAGTCAGAATCCATAAGAAATTATGGGCAAACATGGTATTTTCAGAGGAAGTACATGTGGTCAGGACCTAAGCATATTTTATAATGATAGGGTTGGGGTTTGTTTCTTTCTGAACATCTTGTCCTTTTTCATGAGTATTTCCTATGGAGGGCAGACAAGGTGATTTAGATATGCTTGGATTTAAAAGCAAACCAAAAATCCTCTACCAATCAAATCTGAGTGGTTTCCAGTTAATTAGATCACATTTGGAGTTTAGTGCGGTTGATTAGCACACTGTTGAGCCTGGATCTTAAGCATTCAAGAAAATAATGTAGAAAGATATCTCCAGCTGAGAAATGTAATTGCAGCATTCAGTAGTGATATTTTTAGATATAAAGCAGTCATTGGAAGAATTGGAGTTTTATGTTTAGATGACATTCATTTAGGGAGTACACTTGCATCACAGTGAAAAGTTTATTAGCCTTTTGGCCCTATGGAATTGTTTGGTATCTCTAGATGTAGATTTATTTATCAGTAAATAAATTTTTCTGATGTGTTAGAATTTTGTAAGTGTTGCAAAAGCTATTGAGCAAGTAGGAATGTTTATGAATGGCAGTTGACATATTTTTCAGAAAAATATTTTAGCAAATGTGTAACCTGAACATTACAGTGTTATGATATTACTCAGCAAACCTGATAATGTGGAAATACAGTTGTTGACCAATGCAGTAAATAAAGTTAAAAGGCTGTTGTTGTCTTTACCAAGAGAGCATAAATAAGAGCAACCCCTTCACCCTCCACACACATCCTGAAACTTATTTTAAAATACTGTTTTGGTTTTTTAATACACTGGTATGAAGGATTTTTCTATAGGTTATTCTGTACCGTTTTCATACTACATTTGGAAAACCTATTCTGTGAAATATCACAGTCTTCTGATTATGTCTGTGGTGAAACAACAGATGTGAGTTATTATGAATGTCTATCAGAAAAGAATCTGAGCAAATGATTCATACAAGTGAGATATCTTTTCTGCCTATAAAATAGATATGATCATTGTAATTTGCTCTTGCACATTTTTTAATTTGGAGTTTATTTGTTTTAAAATAATTGCATCCATTAATTGGAATGAATTTGCTGTGGTTTTTTTCTCCGTGTTTATAATGAGAATTACAAAAAACAGTAACTTTTTCAGAGTACACTGTATAGGAGTTTTGTTTCTTGTTTAGGTACATCTGTTTTTCATATAAATATGCAGATATATTGAATGCAAAAAGTGAAATCTACAAATACCTGCCACGAATTTTCTGTGAAAAAGAGGTGTCAAGAAAATTGGATGGCTTACATACTTGTGGAAATCTAACAGTATAAGAGCATGCACTTAATCGGAATGTGTTATGCAGTTTACCACAACCTTTTAGTTAGGATTGTCTATATGGTGATGCTTTCATTTCATTTTAGTTTGTGAATAAATCTTGTAATAGCAATGAACGTTCTTGCGCCACTGTCATTTGCTAGGTTTTTACTGATGTAAGTCCAATGCACAGGTAGTCCTGCTTCGCACACATATGGATATTTAAGTAAGTTACTTAGGCATAACATCTGATATTTAAGTAACATCTGATATTTAAGCAGCCCACTACCAAAATGGCCATGTGTTCCTTTTTAACCACATAGATTCCAAAGATTTTGCTGCATAGTTACAAACCAGCTACAGAGACTATGTGGTGCAGGAATGGAGTCTGTCTTCAAACCAGCACTCACTGCTCAGAAAAAAACAGTATGCTACTCTTACCTAAAGTGTCTACTTGACAAATGAATGCAGTGTGAAAAAGAGGTTCTTTCATCCTGTGTTTTCTATTAATGCTTTTCATTCTCTAAGGAATCTATTGCAGCATTTTAAATATGTAAGTACATACAAAAACTTATTCTTTGGGGTTTTCCCTCTTTGGAATTAATCCTAACTTTCTAGTTGTTTAGTAAGCATGTGTGACTTGATCTTTTGCACTGATTTTTTTATAAATGTCTATGTGGTATTTGTAGATAAAAATAGCAAGAAATAGCTTTAAAATAATAATAAAGAGGTAATTAGAGTTCTACCCATGGTAATACTTCAAAGTCCTTTAGGTCTACAACATTTTCCTAGTAGTATCCCAAAAAGTACATATTTTCATACAAATTTCATAGTTTGTTGCATTTATGTAATGCCTTCGAAAATTTGGTTGAATAAGTGTTCCCTGAAGCAAATATCTTGGGTGTATTCCTGATTTGCTTTTTTTACTACCTCTGTGAATGTCAGTTGGAAGTTAGCTCCTCAAGGGTTTTGTGTACCATTATGTTGCTTAAGAATTATAAATGAATTAAAAATAATGGATGTCCAAACACAAGAAATAAAGACTTTAAAGATAAATAATGAGAGCAGACATAAATTCTCAGCCCAAGCTAGTTATTGCCAGGTTTTGACAAGAAGTTGCTTTGTAATGCTAGTAAAGCCAGTGATTGGGCTTGCTTCTCAAATTAACAAATGGCTTCTTTTTAATTTATATTTGGTAATTTCAATATCAACTGTGTATTATCCTGGTTTTGCTTGGGTTTAATAAATAATTTTTGTCTTGTTTAATTTGATTTCTGTAATAAAAGCTGAAGAAGCAGGTGACTATATCCAAACAATTTACTTAAATATAGTACCTAATGACTAATGAGCAACAGTGAATAATGATTAGCAAGCAGTAAATCAACTTAAGTGTTCTGATCTAAATGTCTAAAGTCTTGCTTGTCTTCACAATGACACAGTTTTTCTTTTCAAGTGAAGTAACTGTTTTTAGACTTAAGACAAAAATACAGTAAGGTGGAGGAAGAGATTCACCATTTATATTAGACTAACACAATATGGCCTTTTTATTAATTTCAAAATCTGTGTATCATAGATTTGTGTGGAACTGATGGATAAAGATTATTTTCTCTGGTTTCACTGTGTTTCTTTCAACACCTTTTTTTTTTTTTTTTGCATAGAGGATTCAAAGCTCAGATTTTTGTACTTTGGTGTCGCGACTTTGAAACATTTAGTTTGATTTTTCAGAGATCACTGATAAACATGAAAACGGCATACTAACTTAGACCAAAATTTTGGTTCATGTAATAGCCCCTTTTCCACCTTGGCAGAGTGGATCCCTGGGGAAGAAAAGGAGAAGAGGGTGAGCACGTGGGAATGCTTCCTGTGAACATTCTCACACTCAGAAATCTTCAGTGTAGGCCTTCTTGAACCCTGAGTGGTTATTCTTTTTTTCAATAGCTCTTGATAGATCCTAGTGGCCTCTATACCTAATATAAGTTTCTTGAGAGGGTAATCTAGCATGCCAGTAGTGCCAAAGGCACACACCATACTGGCATTTTTTCTTGATGTTTCTGTTTCCTGTAGAAGACAGGATTCCTCTAACTCGTAAGTAAAATTGCTTTTATACAGATCCTAAACATGACACCAACTGTCAAGATTTTGAAAGAAAATATGCTGTATTAGAAGCCCATAGACACCGCCTTTCCGGTTAAATCATTGCTTCTGTAAAGCACTTCTGCCAGGCAGTTGTAGGCATTGTCTTCTGGTTTCAGTCTTGACTGGACTCCATTAATTTATTGTTTTGAAAATTCAATGTGTTATGTACTTAGCAGTATGCCAAACAGCAGAATTTGGGTAAATTTCCCAGATTAGGCACCAGTGTTGTAAACTTGTTTTTAAAATGGGGAAATAATTACTAAAACACACAAAACATATGACACATACAATGTAAGACAAAGAGTGAGAATTACCAATTTGTTCTGAGGAGAAGCTTTTCCTTGTAGTTACTCTGGATACCACCATCTTCCTGCCTGAAGAACACAAATTACTTCAAAAGCGGGCTGAGAGATGGCATTGTAAGAGTTTGGCTTTTATAACAGAAATGTGTCTAAAAGTAATTTTCCCAGGACTTTTTGGTTCTTTATAATCAATGTGTGTTTACTTGATGTTGGGACTTGCTTGGTTTAAATTCCATTTTGTAGCACTCTTCCTTCATTAATTTATTATTTCCCTTTTTGCCTTCAATTCCTTTTCATGACCTTTGCTTATTTCTTTCCTTACATTTCCTGCGACGAATAGACTACAATTTTCATTTCATTTTGAACCTCCTAAACCTTAGCTCTGGGTGTCTTGAAATGACTCTTTAGCTGAACAGTTAAAAGTACAAAGTTGACTGCTATGACCTTTTTTTTTCTTTTTTCTTTCTTTTCTTTCCATGTGTATTTTTCCCAGTTTTTACATGTGACAAATGGCTTTGGCTCTTTTTGTATGTTCTACCTTTTTGGGCCACCCAAGAAGCTGTCAAGTGGCGTACACACCAGTATTTACAGAAGCGATATATTATTTATGATTGTGCCATCTATATAATTAGATGTACTTTAGAAATTAAGAAAACATGGCATGTGTGTCAAAGAGCTTTTAAGTCTTAAGCCAAAACACTGCAAAAT